AGCGTGTGGTAGCAAGTTATATAAGCATAAGGTCCTGTCAGGGTAGGCATCAAGAACGAACAGACCATTCTCAAAATATTAAATACCTGCTATGTCCCAGTCTCTGGGTTTAGAAAAATAATGAGTGCTGTCTGCCTGCTAGGAATTCCAAATTTAGTGGAGAAAGACACACACATACGCGCACACACACACACGCACGCACACCATTTCTTACGCATCTCAGATTCTTGCCTGTTCTTTTCAAGCTCTGTCTCTAATATTCAAATGTTAAGAACTTGTTCCAGTTCACTTGGCAGAGTCAGGATTAAATCTCAATTCTGCTTGCCTTTTAAGATCATACTCTTTCCTCAATACCATTCAGTGCCTCTCAAACATTTCCCATGCAAAGTGAAACGCTTATACATAAGGGTAGGTGTGAACCAAGACCATCAGAAACATGTGAAACAGAGCTAACTCTGACTGGGGGAGTCCCAGAGGACATCACGGGGAAGACGTTTTCTTCAGGATTAGTCAGATGGGCATGAGGGGAAAGGAATTCCAGGAAGAAAGCAGCATGTCCCAAGAGGGAGGGCTTTGCAAATGCAGGAACCAGAGACAGGGCTTTGCAAATGCAGGAACCAGCCTTTGGTGGTGGCAGGTGGCCTAGAGCAGTGGGAAGTCTGGAGTGTGTGAAGGGAAATGTGGTCGGGGGTAAGTCAGCGAAGGTAGGTGAGGTAAAGGCCATGAAGGGCCTCCACAGTTAGTTAAGGCATTCAGATCTGTTTCCACAGGCAATGGGAAGTCATCAAAGGTTCTGAGAGGGAGAAACTTCTGATGTTATATTTAAAGGGTCAATTTTTGTCCATAAAGGGATATATATTCATACTTTGGAACATTGTACAACTCAGTGCCTCCTTTGAAAAGAAAAAAAAAATCATTTCAAACATATGGACATGGAGTTTGCCCCTTTAATTTTATTCTGTACCATATGGCACTTTGAATTTTAGAATATGAGTAGAAGATTGACTTCACAGATCAAAACCTAGTAAGAGAAATCTCATCTGTTATTTTAATTTCCTCCCCGCTATAGCCAATGCCCAATTTATCAATCCAATAAAAGGATCGAGTGAGATCAAATAACAACCTGTAAAGTACTTAGACATGCCTGGTATATACCAGGCACAATATAAGGATTTGAGACACACACACACACACACACACACACACACACACAAAGTGTAAAAGGCATTTGCTCTTAATTTCTTAGCTAAACTACATGGTAATATGGTAATAAAGTAATTTCAGCCCTACCATAGGGAGAACTGAAGGATATACACACATGCACATGCACACACCAATACAGAAAAATGAATAGGGGCATCAAAAAATAGCTGTTATGCCAAGCCAAGGTACAGCGTCACTTTAAAAACAGAGTTCTTAGGTTTTTAGAAACCAGAATTTACTTCCATATCAGATTTTCTAAATAAACTTGTCATAAACTTTTACAAGAACTTTCCTCAAAGAGCCTCTGTATGGATTGCTATATTACTCATACATCAAGGCTATGTTTCTACTAAGCCAAATAAACATCTGGACAAAAGCTTTAATCATTTCATTTTTTCCAAGCGCCTGGATGTTTGAGGGCGATAAGGCATCTAGACCCTGACTGGGATTTTGGTCTTTATCAGATACAACTGCAAAGAGAATACCAGCTGAAGGTTTAAAAACCATATTAATTGTAGTGCTTCAAAGCTCAGGGAAGTTAAATGACATGCCTAACGTCATAGAGCTGGCAAGAGGTTGGGCAGGGTTTAAGCCCTGGTCTGTCCAATAAGATATCTCAGCCTATTTCCCTTTCACTACATCAGTTGCCTCAACAGTGCCTTATTCAGCAGATTCTGAAGCACAGAATAACCAGCCTTTCAATATTTATAATCTTGCCAGTTTATAGAAAGAAAATGATATGAGTAAAAAAGACATTAACTGTCTTGCCCTGAACTCTGCATGTAAACACGAACTGGTAACTTAGCCTCACAGCAGAAATTCACATGCATTTCCACAGAGTGGAGACATGCTTAACAAGTGTTTTAGAATGCTACAACTAGAAGGAGCATTAGGTACCATCTGGGCTACCTCTCCTCATGCTGAGGGTACATTTCTACATTAAAAGGAACAGGAAGAGAAACCAGACCAAAGTTCTCCAGTTTCAGTAATCAGGTGCTTTGCTTACATTTCTGAACTTTTTATCTACACTTGCTCTAAGTGCTATCACACATGCTAAAACGTAAGCTTGGCAAAGCTGGAACTGAAATGTAAACATTGGTGATTTTAAGCAAAGGTAAAGGCTCTGGTTTGGATGGTTAAAGAAACGAGGAGTTTCTCACTCAGCTAGCACTAAGCTTCAGGTTAGAGTGTTTCAATGTCTCCACCTTGTGGACATAATCAACACTACAGCAAAATAAATTCACTGGCCATCTTTTTATAATTAAGACTGGTTTGACAATAAACTCAACTCTTTATTACAGGATACAAAAACTGCAAAACAAGCCAGAATTTTTTTGGTAGTATATGAAAATAGGAATTGATAATAATAAATCTGAGTCCATGCTAGATACCAAAAGTCTTCTAAACAATAATACAAAGATTACATTATGCGCAATTCAGTTGTAGTTAATAGGTGTATGCTATTGTTTTTCATGTTTGTAGAAAACTAGAAAAAAAATGATGCTCTAAGTTGACCAGGTCATTTAATTTCTCAGTCCGTTAATTGCGCCAGCTATTCCAGGTAGCAGAAATTTGTTGTACTGTAAGGTGTTGGGGCTCAGAAAACACTACAAAATAAAGGCTTCGGAAGCGAAAGTTTTTCTCTGACCTTTTCCTGCCCTCTGGTCTCTCAATCCTATTTCCCCTGAGGCCAGCCATAGAAACTAGAATCCCTCTGCCCCCAGGTGGGCCATAGAAATCAGAACCCTTTTGCCCCAAAGCCAGCCATAAAACCTCCAAACATTACTCTAATTTCCCCTCTTTCTTTCTGTGTGAATCCTGGGCATAAGGAAATTATCTGAGCCACCTTGTTTGATTGTAGAAACCTCCATTACAGAGAGGGCTCTGCCCCACACCCAGAAGGCAGGAAGGCTGCTCAGAAGGGCCAAGAAGAATCTAGACAGACAGACCTTCCCGGGATTCCCCACTTCATCTACTAGCATTAGATCATACCCTTTTTGCCCAATCATATTTCTACACAGCTGTCCATACTTTGTAGAATCTAAACATAAAATTGGACCATTTCCCCTATATCTTTGGGTATTTACTCTGAAGGCTTCTGTGTATATATGTTAAGTAAATTTGTATGTCCTTTCTCTAACGAATCTGCCTCTTGTGAGTTGATTTTCCAGTGAACCTTCAGAGGGTGAAGGTGAAATTTTCCTTTTCCTCTGCAAAAGGTTTGGTGGATCCTATTTTCAAAGATTTCCCTACCCAAGATAGTTCTAAAAGTGACAGGTTGAAAACCAAAGCACCTCTATGCCTCAGCTTTTAATGAAATAAAAGAACATTTCTAGTCACAGAGGTAGAACGGAGGAAAATTAATTTTGAAATAAACTCTAGTAGTTGTAATATTTCAATACAGCAATAAAATGTTGGCAAGATGATACACTATTATGCTCTGTCTCTAATAGCTGCAAGCCCTTGGGCAAGTTATTTAACCTTCCTGGACTTCACTTTTCTCATCTCTAAAATGGGGATTGTGATATCATCTACCTCAAAGGATTGCTGTGGAGATAGAACAAGAGAGTATAAAAGTAAAGCATCTAGCACTGTATTTGGCATATAGGAGAGTTAGCTATTATTTAAATTATAAAAATACTGACTCACCCATCGGGTTCTTGATCATTACTTTCATGGAAATGAGTGGCACAATTAGTATTTCTGCTTTTTCTTATCTGTAACTTTAACAGCTAGAACATTCGAGGTGGAAAAGATCTTGGAGAACTTCTGGGCAAGTCACGTTAACAGATGAAGGAAGAAGTCTCAGGCAACTGAAATAACTCACTGCACCTTAAGTCTGCAGGGTGATCTGAGAGGGGAGCATGAACAAGTTGCCGGCCAGGCCTCGTGCTATACAGTCATGGCAGGCTCCACCTGAAAGTTTCCTTAGACATCATCTCATCACCCGCTTTACTTCATATGCGAGCACACAGAGAAACAGGGAGGCTGGCTTTGTTCATTCACTGATTCACATGTTCATTGACTTAGCAATATTTATGAGCTCCTATTATACACAACACACTGGGGGTTCTGCGGTGAACGAACAAGACAAGTCCTTGCTTTGTGGTGCTTATTGCTGCAAGTAGGAGAGGGCTGGGAGGCAATAAAGGATATACACATAATCAGGCTAATTTCAAATAGTGATAAGCTTCCAAAGGAGCCTGCCACAGAGAGGTGGAGATGCCTAGGGCATACACACACCTACTTCAAATTGCACAGTCAAGGAGGGCCCCTCCAAGGAGGTGTCAGCTGAGCAGCAAGAAGGACCTACCACACAAAGATCTGGGAAGCAGAATCCAGGCTGAGAAACAGCGTGCAAGGCTATGAGGTGGAAAAGAGTTTGACAAGATTGAGGACTGAGAGGGACAGCTGCAGCAGGGAAACAGGTAGGAGAGAGGAAGATGAGATCTAAAAGGTAGGTACAGGCCAAATCTCATAGGCCTAGGGAGGTCGTGTAACCTGCAAGGATTCCATCCTTAGTGCAAGGTTTGGTTTAAGGGACTAACGCGACATGGTTTGTTTTCAGGTGTCACTCTGCTGTTTGTGAGTTACTGGCCAAGCCTGGACTACCCAGGCCTTCAGACTCACAGCCCAGCAGCGTCTCCCTCCATGCCACACAGCCTTTGATATGGACAGCAGAAACTCAGGTGGGCAGTTTGACCTCCTCCGGAAGACTCAAACAGAGCCCTACAAAAGGGAAGCCAGGTGCCAAGCTTGCTTTCTCTCTGGGAAAAAGGGCGGCCCTGGGTACTTACCCGCTTGTAATGTCATCGGTCCGGATGTTCTTGCTCAGAACGTCCCCATCGCTCATGTAGCCGGGGGCGTCCATGCTGATGCCTTCCAGGTCCATCTCATCTCCTGCCTTGTCTGAGACGTCCACGTGGCAGACGCTGCTGCCCCGGGAGGCCAGCTGCCTTCTCAGAGGGGCGGAGTACACGTAGCGACCTGACTCAGTGTTGATGAACCGGCTGGCGTTGGCTCGAGGGGGGTATCCATTGCCCATTGAGGGGGCATCTCCTGCTTGGAGCCGAGGGCTGGACTGGCCCAGTCTCCAGGACAGAGGTGTGGGCCTCCCTGTCAAGCTGAGTATGCTGCGGCCACTCATCTCCGTAGTGACATTGGTGTCAAACGTGGTTTCCAATGTGCTAGAAACAAAACCAACCTGATTAGACTCAAAGGTACCTAGTATCCTTCACAGTTTATATGTTCTTTAATTATTTAGAATTATGAAATAATCCTCATATATAAAATAGGATAAAACAGCTGGCCCCATGTACCACCTGGTGTGCTTCCCCTGCTCAAAATGAAAAAGGAAAGTCGCACATCTACATAACATTCTGAAAAGCCTACTGGAGACTTTCCCTGCTAAGACATGGTACAAGAAACAAATTCCTTTAATTAAATGACCTTAACTGCTAGAATTGTCTTTCCAGGCCGGATGCAGTGGCTCACACCTGTCATCCCAGCACTTTGGGAGGCTGAGGTGGGTGGATCATGAAGTCAAGAGATCAAGACCATCCTGGCCAACATGGTGAAACTCTATCTCTACTAAAAATGCAAAAATTAGCTGGGCATGGTGGCACGTGCCTGTAGTCCCAGCTGCTCGGGAGGTTGAGGCAGGAGAATTGCTTGAACCCAGGAGGTGGAGGTTGCAGTGAGCTGAGATTGCGTCACAGCACTCCAGCCTGGCGACAGAGAGTGAGACTCCATCCCCCTCCCCCACCCAAAAAAGAATTTTCTTTCCATTCTGGGAAAGAAAATACTAGAAAATGCTGAGCTGATTAGGATGGGGCATGAAGGTTCCTGCTTGCCCATTCATTCTAGGATGTTGCATCACAGCCCTCTTTTCCTTAAGGGTGGGATTCTCCACCCACCAGGAGTTCCTGATACCATATTTTACATCCTCAGCTCCCTCCCAACTGAGCAGTGGACACAGTTCTAATTTTGTAACCCAACGGTTCACTTCCCCCAGACTTTTGCTTTTCTCAGATTTCATCCAAAAAGTCTGGAAAAATTGGTAAATGCCTGGGCTTGAGTTCCCTCTTCAATCAAGTTACACGGACCAGAATCTGCCCAAGGATGAGCTCAATCTCTTGGCAGAGTCCGTCTTCCACTGTCTTCACAGCACCGCAGTTTCTTGCAGCCCAGTCAAAACTATCATCTATACTTTCACAGGAAAACTGCAATTTCCTCACTGAGCAAAGAGAGTGAGATTCTACCCTGCAGAAGAAACCACTGAAGTCTTCCCTCCTGTCATAATTACCATCCCACCGTGAAACTGCTATGCCAACATTAAGTCAGTGTCAGTGACAACGGTGGAAAGACGGATGTTTCACACTAATGGTAGAGTCACGAGATCCAATATCTGACTCCCTTCATTCAGATACCTAAAGGTTTAAGACGGTACCACCCCCAAACCCCCGAGTTTACTCTCCTCTGGAAGAGCCAATTTGCTCCCTTAAGCTGTTTTTGTTTTCCTCTGATCTTGGAAGTGGCCTTATTTTTCTCGGATTGGACCCCTTGTTTTGGGCCTCAGTCCTATTGGAGATGGAACTCACAGTGGTTAACCCCAATCTGCCAAAACTGCTGACAGTGGAAGCCCTGTGGTTTCCTTGCCATAGCCACTTATCAAAGAAACTGAAATTGGAGAAGCAAAGGAGACTCTGTGGAAGCTCAGTGGGGACAACGAGAACTTTCCTTGACTTCCACATACTATAAAACCTCCTCCTGCCCAAATCACAAAGGACATCCCAGGGTTGCATCCTCTTCAACTTCTTGTTCAACAATGAAAGTACCTGATAAATGTTTCCAATATAATCCTAGATTTCATCCAACTAAATCAGAGGTTAAACACGATCATAAGCTGTTATAAATATTTCCTTACATGTTTTACGCACGTGCATGACTAACAATAGTACAGAGTGCTGCATATCAGAAGAGTGGGTAGGAATTCAAGTTATTCAGTTTATCACACAGGTCAAATACAGTTCACCTGCTCATTTCAACAGCACCAGATAGTTTTAGAAAATGCAAGTAAAGTGAAATTTAAATAGAGCTGGTCTACAGTATCATTTGTTGAATGGATTTAGCAACCTTCTGCTTTTGGGAAAAAATCTGTCTATACTAATTTTTGTTTCCTATAATTCTCTTCTGCATGTTGTATGGCATTCTTTGTGAATTCCGGCACATTTGGAAAGCGAGGCTATTGATCCATTATAACCAAATCGCTTTGCTAATGGTATGAACACACACAGTAGAAAATGAACATACCAGCTAGTTCAGTAAAGTAATTCACACTGCAGATACCTGTGTGTAACCTGAGTTCCCCTTAAACTGGACATGGTTTCCTCTAAATTCTGCCGCAGATCAGCGATGTTCTTCACTGTCCGCAGCCGCCGAGCCTCAGGATCTTCCCCTGGAAAGACGAGGGTTAAGATTAGTTTAATTCTCTTACCAACCCTGAGCTTCATAAGGGCAGCATCCATGTCTGTGACCATAACTATATTCAGTATGTGCCTCGCTGTGGGTGCTTAATAAGGATTTGAGAATGAATGAATGACCGAATGGAAGTGTGAATGGAAACCCAAAGGAAGTGTGAAGTCCAAGGAGATTCTTCCTTCAGGTGCCTCCTTAAATAGGTGAAGTCTAGCGTGTGGGAGAAGCCAAGTGCCTAGTCTGAGATGTAAACACATTTCCACAGTGTCTCCAGCAGAGACACGCTCAGGTTAGGTCCGACCAGGTAGTCATTTTCTGCCCATGCAAAAATGAGTGAAGCATTTTGTTTGTTCACCTATTGGTGATACATGCAGCTATCTTAGGCCCTACTTTGCAAGGATAGCTTGCAGTAGCTAGAAGATCTGCACCTGTTAATCACAAATATTTATACAGAGAAAGATTGCTTTCTTCATTGTTAGATGTATTATGTCACCTCAAATCCAAGCTCCTCTACTTATTGGCTGTGTGACTGTGGGGAAGGTGCTGGTCCTCTCTGTCCTTCAGATTTCACTTTTCTAAAAGGAACACAGTGGTAGTACTGACCTCAAAGGACATTTGTGGGGACAAACTGGGATCAAGTCGGGATTTCCCTTAGCACAGTGCTCACCATAAGCACTTAACACAAGCCAGCTGGTGCTCTAGAGCAGGGAGCCTTCAAGAAACAGCTGGGGGCCGGGCACAGTGGCTCACGCCTATAATCCGAGCATTTGGGAAGCCAAAGCAGGTGGATCGCTTGGGCCCAGGAGTTCAAGACCAGCCTGCACAACATGGCAAAACCCTGTCTGATGACATACACCTGTAGTGCCAGCTACTCTGGAGTCTAAGGTTGGATGATGTCTTTAGTTTAGGAGGCAGAGGTTGCAGTCAGCCAAGATTGTGCCATTGCAATCCAGCCAGGGTAACAGAGAGTGAAGGGAGGAAGGGAGGAAGGGAGAAAGGGAGAAAGGAAGGGGAGGGAAGAAAGGAAAGAAGGAAAGGAGGAAAGAAAGAAGAGAAAGAAAGACAAGAAGGCAAGAAGGAAAGCAAGCAAGCAAGCAAGCAAGCAAGAAAAGACAGAAAGCCAGTCAGTCAGACAGAAAAGAAAGGAAAGAAAGGGAAGGGAAAGGAGAAAGAAAAGGAAAGGAGAAAGGAAAAGGGAAAGGGAAGGAAAAGAAAAGAAAGAAAAGAAAAGAAAAATGGAAAGAAAAGAAACAGACAGCTGGGTTCCTCTTTGTTAGGACCACAGCCTTCCATTCCCTGGGCAAAACTTCCCAGAAGAGACTTGGCTGAGCAGCATTTGAGCAAGCTGGCACTAGTGTACCATGAGAAATATGCCACACACAAGCTAGGACACAGCGCAGTCTTGTTTTGGGTTCTCTGGCAATTCCATTTCTTTCTATTTTTTTGAGACAGTGTCTCGCTCTGTCGCCCAGGCTAGAGTGCAGTGGCACGATCTCAGCTTACTGCAACATCCACCTCCTGGGTTCAAGTGATTCTTCTGCCTCAGCCGTCTGAGTAGCTGGGATTACAGGCGCCTGCCACCACACCTGGCTAATTTTTTTTTTTCACCATGTTGGCCAGGCTGGTCTCGAACTCCTGACCTCAGGTGATCCTCCTGCCTTGGCCTCCCAAAGTGCTGGGATTATAGGTGATCCCACCGCACATGGCCTGATCCCATACATATAGGTGTATGGGATTATAGTGAGCCACCGCACATGGCCTAGTTCCATTCATTTTAGCCTTACAATGGGAGGAGGAGAGGGGCAATAACTATAATAATGATTAATAGAATTATATATTTTCTCCCTCAGAGTAATTTTAGGGACAGCTGAGAAGACTGAAGAAGCACAAACATGGGTCTTTAAAAGCCTAGGACTATTTTCAAGTGTTGAGCAATATTTTCAAAGAAATCTCCATCTAGAACATAGCACAAGTGGAATTTACATTAGACATGAAGCAGGAGCAAGTGGAATTGACATCAGACAACAGGTTGAACTTCCAACAATTGTCATTAACAGGGGACTGGGCAGCTAAGAAATGTAATAGAATTAACTTTTCTTCTGAGATAGATGACAACTTCCTTAGGTTGTTCTTGGCATGGTGGTGCCTGCAGGCTGGGATGGAGTAAATGACATACCCATGATTTCATGGAGGAAATTTACTTGAAAATGCAAGTGCTTTCCAATTTCTCCTTCCACCTTTTAACCCAAGGAAATTTGGAAGGCATTTTTCTCTTATCTGAAAAGTGGTCAAACTTGCATTTCCCTCCCAGTGCTTTAAAATACATATGTATGTATGTGTTTTTAAACAAAAGCAAAGCTGAATGTCTATTATACCTTCCCCTAATGACTTTGGAGGAATGTAACTGCATCTACCTTCTGGGCTATCAATGACATCTTTTACTGCCAATTTGGCCACATTTTATGTATATAAGCCTGCTAAAAAATATTCTTAGGTTAGCTCTAGGCCCTTTAGAAAACATCGATTATGAGGCTAAATCTAGGCATAGGTTTACAAATTACCTCAACTAATTACCTTAACCACACACATAAAATACAGTAACCATATTTACTTATCCATCACTCTATTAATGGTCTTAACCCTCCACTAGAAATTCAACTATTTTGTTTTATTTTTTAGAGACAGAGTCTTGCTCTGTTCCTCAGGCTGGAGTGCAGTGCTGTGATCATAGCTCAATGCAGCCTCAAACTCCTGGGCTCAAGCAATCCTCCCACCTCACCCTCCCATGTAGCTAGGGCTACAGGGATGCACCGCAATGCCTGGTTAATCTGTTTTGTTTGCAGAGACGGAGTCTTCTATGTTGCCCGGGCTAGTCGCAAACTCCTGGCCTCAAGCAATCCTCTCGCCTTGGCCTCCCAAAGTGCTGGGATTACAGGTATAGCCACTGCACCCAGACAGAAAGTCAAAGATCTTTGAGTTGGGGATGGTGTCTCATCTTTCCTTTTGGTAACCCCCACACAATTTATAGAGGTCTAAGAAATGTTTATTATGCAACACATGTTTGGTCAGTGTGCAGTTGTAGGAAATGCATGGACTTCACATTTCCACAGATAAATATTTGAATTGTGGCAGTGCTGCGTATTAGCCACTTGACCCTAGATCTCATTTGTAAAATGGACATAAAAACCCTTTGCTAGAAGGGTTAGTGTGAGAGTCAGATGAGATGGCACATAGCACAAAATGAGGGTTCAGTAAATGTGAGTGTCCTGTTTCCCTCTTGTGGGTCCTGCTGGGAAATATTTGCCCTCCTCCAGGGCTCTACATCAGACCCCAAGGGTAACGTAAGAACACAAAACAGTAACCCACCTGACATGCTTAGGTGATCACATTCGGAACTGCCAATTATGCCTCCTCTGACAATGACCTGAATGTAGGATTTACCCACTAACTCACAGCCTGAACATAATAAAAACACAATTGAGTTCCAGTGGAAACAGCTGGGAGCTTTGAGCTCATAGATTCTGAGAGGTCTTAAAAATTTAGTGTCTACCTGTAACGATCTGGACTTTGCCAGCGATGCTCAAGCCACTAGTCATGATTGGGAGAGCATCACATTGCGACCAAATATGACTGAGTTTGGAGGATATCAAGGTGTTACAAAAGGACCATGGAAAAAATCCAGGATTTTTACTTGGAAATAAAGAAACCTTAAGGGATATGTTACAACATGAAAAAGAATGAAAACTGTCTGGGGCTTCAGAAGGCTGAATTATATCCGGTGATTGAAAATGTAAGAATAAAGAACTCTATTAACTGATGAAGCCATCAACAACAGCAAAAAAATAAAGGGCTGCCTTACGAAGGAACAACATTTTGTCCAAGAAATATTCAAGCAGAGGCTGAAAGATAGTCATCAGCAAGCTTTAGAAGGAATTCATGAGCAGGATGATAAGTAGGTGTGTGTGATTCCTTCAATTCTATCATCCAAGATGCATTTTTCAACTATCATGCTCTGTACATGATCACACACCATAGGAAAACCCACCCATTTGCATAAGTAAGGGAAAGAACCAAGCGATTGATCAAATAGTTATAAATGTCCATTTCTAAATAGTCCTACCATTCACTGTCATTTCAAAGGATTGGCTGTGGGTAAGTTAAATTCAACGTCATGCTATTTATTATTCAGTCTCTCCATAAAAAAAATCAACATAGTCACAAGTATGATTTCTACTTCTTGAATATAAAGACATGTCACCCTGATAAGGAATTTTCATTAGCGACCAACCCCATTTGATTTGACACCAAAGAGTGAATAGTCAAGCACTACTGGCTGCACAAGTCTCTTCCCCAGAGCCAACAGACAGCATCTCAGGGTTTCTGAGTTCTTAAGGCTGGGTACAGTGGAGACATGGAGATACAAAGAAAAATTAGGGGAAGATCACATACTGCAATCTGTCACTCTGAAATCTAAGTAATATTTGGAATATTCTTTGGCTCCTGCTTTTGCTTTTCCAATGTGGATTTTGCTGAGACTCAACGTCTGACAGGAATCCACACCACTCCACGCGCCACACATCTGAACCATGCTGGGATCTGAAGCGTTGGCCTCATTCTTTTGATGTCTGCACATCAGAACACAATCTGGAATGTACATGGAGACTTGAGCAGTCATCTGAACTCCACACCCTTCTCATTGCTGGTCCTTTTCCTGTGCTATCCATGTAGTCACATGCAAGAAAGCTACAAACCTCGAAGAGAAGGAAACAAAATCAATCCCAAATGTGGGGCCCGAATCATTCTAAGATGGATTGCTTACAAATGGCTTGAAGAATCTCTGCACCGTCTCTGTGCCCAGCCAGTGGAATCAGAAGGGAATAGATCACCCAGATCCTCTGAAATTAATTGTTGGGGCTAATTGCGAGATGGGTAAGGTTCAATCATTGGGCTGCAGAGCAATTCCACAGCTGTAATGTGGCTATTAAAATGCTGTAGTCAGGGATATTCAGTTTAATAAATAGATTTTAAGCACGGATTCAGTTTTTAACTCGACTGTGGAAGTGGTAAGATATGAGAAGAGTGACACAGCCACTAATAAATCAATGGCTTACCACTCACTTCCCTGACTAGAAGTTGCTGGAGCATGGGACACAGAGTTGGGGAATGGGGAAAAGAGACAGAGAAGATGGCAGCTTGGAATCCACTGTAGTAAGAATACTAATTAAGGTGTGACTTTTCTTCTTTAATTAAGAATGTGACAGTATAGTGTCCATATATAAATGCTTATAGAATTAACTATACAACGACTGTGGATTTTATGCTGTCATATAGTATAATGTTCCTGTAATCATCATTGTCTCTGTTACAATTAAATAAAATTTACATTTCTTTTTTTGTTTCTGGTAAAAAGAAGCATGTTACAATTTTTCCCCCCAATTCATGTAGGACTCTAAGAACACATTTTAAATCAGTGTTTCTATACAGGAACGAAATCCACTATTCTAAATCTTGTTGAAAAGCAACTTTATCTGAAGAGTAAACAAGAAGATTCAAAGTTAAGTATCAGTGGAGTCCAGAGCCCCTAAATGAATAAAACTGAATATATCTTAAAAACAGGATTTGCACACCAGTAAGAGATTTGTTTACAATTCTGGGGAGGAGGGAAGAAACTGTAAGAGGGAGAGTAAAGGGAAGAAAAAGAAGAAGAAAAATAATAGGAAACAAAAAAGAAAGAAAGTTTGTTTAGCTCAAAGTCAATGCAACCATAACGCAACTTGTAATCAAGCTGGGTTCATGCTGTTCCAGCAGGTATTGCATGGAAGGCCTCATCACCAACAGACACAGATTTCTGGGGCTCCATACTCACCAGTGAGTTCTTCCAGAGCAGGCTGTCCAGTCTTGGTGAAGTGGCTGGGCTCCATGCTCACACCCGTTGAGCCTGACTCGGCGGTAACATTCCCTTCAGTGTCCGTCTGAGACCTTCACACAAAAACCAAAGCAGACATACTTGTCATGAGAGGCAACTACCACGTCTGGACCACTGTGGTCTAACCACAGCCCTCACCATTACCTCCTACAGCAAGAAGCTTCAGAACAGAGCGGACGAGCGGACTGACGCTAAATAATTCATTACCCATATGTGCAGCAATGTCCTAAGAACGGAGAGAGCCACCAAACTGTAAAAGATAAACTTCTCATTGCCTAGATGGAGGGCCTGTAATCCCTCACTGGGGAATGCTTCTCTGAACCTCCCTCAGGATGCTAGGTCTAGCCAGACACACGCTGGAGGGTATTGGGTGGTTTGGATAATTTAACCTATGCCAAAGAACAACTTCTAAGTAACCAGCAACGCCAACAAGTCAAACATAAAGATGACTCTATTAACAGCACCCCCACCCCAAAATCATCCTGACATGGTTTTCTCTATAAAGGTGACCATAAAACCAGTTGGAAGTGGGTGCCAAGCAGGTGTGTTTGCCCTCCAGGTCTCTGATTCAGAGCTCAGTTCTTCTGACATGAAAGGTCTCCTTGATCATTATTTCAACACTCGACTGAAATCTGTACTTCCCCAAACCCTCTCCATGCCCTTATTTGTCAAGCAAATTGAAGCAACGGCTTCATGCAATGTTTTCTTGTTACAGCTACCTCTGCTCATTCAGGCATGGCATGTAAATGCATAATTACACTCAGATGCATGACCCTGCATGTAACATTATTAACGCACTGGCATCCTGAACTAATTCAACTGATTTTACTATCTGTGAGGAAAACGTTTGCCAAGAATGAGAATGGACGATGGGGGATGTACTGATAAACCTCAAGTCATCCAACCGTTCTTCCCTCCTTTCTTCTTCCTACTGAGGCCATTGTTCTCAATTCTGTTATATTTGCCTTTAAAGGATTTCATAATGCCTGTGCTCCTTTCACCTCCAGCCAGGGTCCAAGCCCTCTTCATTTCTACTGAGGCCTTAAGAGTGCTTTGAAACAGGTACCTCACACCTAGAGGTTTCAAATGGCAGCCCAGTATGGAAACCAGTCCAATTTATTCCTACTGGTCTGCATAATATTTTAAAGTATTAAAATTAGTTCAACATTTAAAAATTGGGATATTTCACAATAAATATCTGGATTTCTGCCTTCATCCAGTAAAAACAATAAAGCCTGGGAAAGACAGAGCCTTTGTTATTGTAGATCGCCACCTGCTGGTGCCAAGTGGTGGCTGCACCCTCTAAAGAGGTGTGGCTCCCTCTGCCACAGCCTCGCTCACCCTGAGCCACCCATCTAGATGACCATTTAGAGGCCAATTAGGCAGCTGAATCTGTGATCTCCATTCTACACTCTTCCTAAGTTTGGTCTACTCCCCACACGATTCTTCACTGACTTCTGTAAAACTTACGTGATGACATCACTGTCTTCAGTGGTTTCCATTACCACAGAACAAGGTCTAAACTCCTTATTGTGGTAGACAATGGCCACATTCTTCCTTTGTTTCCAGGCCCATCACCTGCCTTTCTAACCCTTTACATACAGCTCTACTATGCTCCACCCACATGTGGCTTCTGTCCACATGCCTTTAACAGGTTTATCTTTGTAGTAACTGCAACCTCTCTGCCTAAAGGCCCTTCTCCTCCTTCCTTAGTTCACTCCTAATCTGTCTTTAAGATGCAGCTTCCATGTCATCTTTTCCTGACAGCCTTCCTTGACTCCTTGCCAGGAGTTCCTAGAGCACTCTCCTTATTCTCTTGTTGGTTAAAATGTGATCCTATAGCACTCTCCTTATTCTCCTGTTGGCTAAAATGTGATCTAATAAGTAAATCTTTCTTCAATTAGATTGAGAGCTCTCCAGAGGCAAAGGTTAGTTCAAGTTTATATGCTGCACAGGCAACACAAGAAGGGCGTGTTGACTGGATAAATAAGAAATGTTTAAGTCTCAGAAGATGCTAGGTACTAGAAGGAACATTAGACTTGAAAGTCTAAATATTTGACTAGCTCCAGGTCTAAGATCTGTAACTTGTTAGCATGCAAATTTGAGTTAAGTCACTTCACCTCTTTGAATCTCAGCATCCTCATCTGTACAATGGGGATAATAATAGCAACCTCCTCTGGTTCTATAAAAATCAAAGGTATGTGACACACAACTCTTAGTAAACTATAAAGTGATAGAGGAGTCTACTGTACTTCTGAATTGATAAATATAATTCATTCTGAGTGATTTTTTAAAAAATGACCCATCTTTCCTTTACTCCTTGGTAACAACTTTAACATGGAGAGGTTTTGCTGGGGGGAGCAATTATAAGTTATATATAGTGGACCATAAGCTTGAGGGAGAGAATGTTAGAGCAGAAAAGGAGAATAAACTAATTTATAGAATCTAATCTAATCCAAACTTCTCACTTTCCAGATGAAGACAATGAAGACAAAGTGATGTAGAGTCAAGACTGGTGGTTAAGAGCCTGGTTTCACTAGTTAGACAGACTTGGCTTTTTGTTTGTTTGTTTTTGAGACAGAGTCTCCTTCTGTTGCCCAGGCTGGTGTGCAATGGCGTGATCATGGCTCACTGCAACCTCCACTTCCCAGGTTCAAGGGATTCTCATGCCTCAGCGTCATGAGTAGTTGGGACTACTGGTGTGTGCCACCTCGCCAGGCTAATTTTTGTATTTTTAGTAGAGCTAGGGTTTCACCATGTTGGCCAGGCTGGTCTTGAACTCCTGACCTCAAGTGATCCGCCCACCTTGACCTTCCAAAGTGCTGGGATTTCAGGTGTGAGCCACCATGCCCAGTCCACACTTGGTTTTAAACATGAGCTCCTCTAGTCTAATTCTGTGACTTGGGGCAAATTGTGTAATTACCCCTAAGCTGCTAGCTCATGGAGGTGTGGGAAGAATGAAGTGAGCTAAGAGGTAGAAAGCCCTTAGCAGACTCTCTGCCCACACTCAATCAATAACTGTTCCTTCAGCTGGTACCCAAGACCTCAGAAGGAACCAAGGGCTGATAAAGGACAAGGCCCAGGTGTCCTGATTTCTATCCTGGTGCTCTTGGTTCCAGCGTCACTTCCCAGACTCCCCTAAAGATGAAGGCACCTCAGAGGGGACAGAAGGACGTTACCCAGAGCGGGTATTAACATAAAAACGGGGCTAGTCAGATCCACATCCTAGACATTTTCCTCTTCCTCCTCTTTGTCAGACTTTTGCTCTTTATCATTAAGACTTTTCTTCTGATAGAAAACCTTGAAATAAAAAGAGGCTATATGTTTTATAATATTTCAAATTATAGCGAACAACAAAAAAAGAAGGAATGGGATTGATGGTGATCAAAGACTGTCATATTTTAATTTTGAAGATGCAAATACAGAATCTGTGAATCTTGAATATGTATTACCTCAAGACTAATAACGCTACTGGAATTATAAAAATTTCATGTGGAGCTATTCAGTTGCCTCCACACTTCAGAGAAAAATTGTATTAAAAGCAGTTCATGGCTGGGCGCAGTGGCTCATGACTGTCATCCCAGCACTGAGCTCAGGAGTTCAAGACTAGCCTGGGCAACATGGTGAAATCCTTTCCCTATTAAAATTAAAAAAAAAAAAATTAGCCGGGTGTGGTGGCATGCACCTGTAGCCCCAGCTGAGGCATGAGAATTGTTTGAACCTGGGAGGTGGAGGTTGCAGTGAGCCGAGATGGTGCCACTGCACTCCAGCCTTGGTGATAGAGCGACACTCCATCTCAAAAAAAAAAAAAAAAAAAAAAAAACACACAAAAAACAAAAACAAAACAAAAGCCGTGCGTGTAGACCAGCTGAGTCATTATCTAAGCCCTGGTGCTCTTCTCAGGATTGTGAGCTGAGCTGATGACTTGATTCAATAAAGTGAGACCTTCTCCCAATTAAAAAGATCAGCACGACCCTCACTGAAGGAGAATGCAAGCAGAATAAAAGGAAGGAGCACAATGCCTGACATTCTTTTGCTGGCCTGGTGCTGGCAGGCTTTCCTTTGAAAGCACTTAAGCCAGTCCCTCCACCAGCTATTGGCAGGAACTGTACCAGAGCCCACTAGAACACAGCTCAGGAGGAAAGAGGGAATATCACATTCTTTGGGGAATCATACAAACATAGCAAGCTGAGAGTCTGGCCATGCACCTATGCACCTGAACAGGTATATAAATACATGTATGCATATGTGCCTTTGCATTTCATGTATGAATGTATACTTGTGTTCATACTTATATGTGACTTTTAATGTGTGTCCACATGTATGGCGGTATGAGTGTGAGTGTACAGTTGTGCATCTGTATGCACTTGAGTTACAACCATAAAACATGTGTCTAGAATGTGACACTTGATCATTAATCCTCTTTTGTGTGTACGAGTATTAGTTATCCAATTGTGCAGTGTGGCCAAATGCACTGCTCATCTCCAGCACAGGACGGAGTTGGGCACTGTCAGTGAAAGCTCTGGGAATTATAAGAACTTTAAGGGCAGGGGCTGGGGAGCTTCCACCTGCCTGGAGTGGACTCATCCATGTGTATGACACGGCCCCTGGAGCCCGTGTGCCACATTCAGTAAGAGGCGTGTTGTAGCCTGAGCAACAAGCTATGTCGCTCGCCAGAATCACACAGAGCAGCAGCACCACAGTGTGGACTGGCTACACACAGTCTCTCATGGTCCTGAGGATGTGCCATCAAAGAGAAAGGGGCTGGGGGACAGATAAGGACAGAAGGATCCATCCATCACCACAAACACCCAGGCTTATCTCCTCAGAACATGAGCTCTTCTGTTCTTCTAGAACCGGCCCCTTCCCTACCATTACTCTTCTCCCCCAGGTCCCTCTCCCTTCAGAAAGCCCCAGCATGCAGCAGGGACTGTGAGGATCTGAATGTTCAAGGCAATCCCTGCTATAAGAAATCTTATTGAGCCAGGTGTTTATTATTTTATTTATTTTTTAAATATGTTGGGATGTGTTAGGACTAATGCTGGGGCCTGTCGGGTGACACCAAACTGCCCCCACCCTCATATTTAGGCCTTCATGCTTTCTGCTTAGGGAAGCTGCTGCTACAAGGCCTGGGGTCCCCATATTCCTATGCGTCCTGGGATCAGCTCACATTTTACTTCCCTTCTTCAGCTTTCTCTGTTCCTCCCCCAACCTGTGCTGTATGAACTGCTCCCTGGAGCACATTGTGTCTGCTTCTCTTAGGAGCTTATCACGTGGTTTCTTAGCTATTGACTTACATATTCCTGGAGCACAGTCTAGCTCCTGCCCTCACAGACCTGCAATCCACTAGATAGGATCTTTTACTCAACGTCCCAGGCAGCACAGGTGGGCGGCAGCTCCTACCTGTACAGGAAAGGTGCAACCGTGGCAGTGTTGGGATGGTTGTATTGCTGCTGGGGCTGAGGTAGCTGAACACTGACGGTATTGCTTCCTGTGGTCTGGGTGGTCCCGATGGACCCACTGACAGTCTGGCTGCTGATGCTGTGGTTCAGGGTGGTCCCTCCTGGGCCTTTTCCTTCTGAGGACGCCAGGCTGGAAGAGGAACTGGAGTGTCTGCCGTCCAGCTGGGGCTTCTGCTGGGGGAGCCCTGAACTCGGCTTCCCACTCCGGCTCCGCTCCCCTTCCTTGGAAGGCGCTGGGGCACTTGGGGATTTCCCGGGCATGCTCTTCATTCCTGGTTTTGGTATTCCACTGTGGGAAGGGGCCATGGGCTCCTTCTTGGCACTGTTGAGCTTCCCCCCTTTGGGGATGAAGCTGGCAATCTTGGAGGACTTTTTTGGCATCTCGGGCAAGGCTGCTCCACTGGGGTCTTCTTTTGGCTCCTCCTTAAGGTCCAGCCTCTCCGTCACAGAGGCTCTCTTGGCAAGGTCCTTGCTTTTCTCCTTATCCTTCTCCCGCTGTTGTTTCTCCTTCTCTTTCTCATTGCCTTTCGGAGAACTCTTCTTGTTGGTCAGCGCCCGGCTAAAAGTCCTCTGGGCAATGCCCTTGAGTGCAATCTTAGGGCTGCTGGAAGCAGGGCCCACGGTGGTGAGCATGCGACTGGCGGCCTCCAGCTCCTCACTCTCTTCGAAGCTGGGCAGAGTCTCCAGCCGCTCACAGCTTGTGTCCCGGGACCCCGGGCCCTCACCTGCCTTTGAGCCCCCTTTACTGTTGAAAAGTTTCAGCTTTTCCAGCATGGACTTCTGATTGTTGGGGGCTGGCTTCATGGCTTCAGGTGTGGGCCTGGGAGCCTCAGGCCCAGGAGACTTGACTGAGAGCATGGATACCGTGGCACTGTGCTTCACGCTGAGGGATTTGCTGCGCCAAGGCTTGGTGGCTGCACCGGGCTGCGGGATGGCTGAGGAGGTGCTACAATTCGTAGGGGTGGAGCTGCTGCCGCTCTCCAAGGAAGCAGGTGCATTGTCACTCATTCCGGGGTGGGAGGAGGCTGAGCTTGCCAAAGGCTCTGCAGAGACAGAAGAGAGGAGGCCTGAGTCACACCTGTTGACCTGCACTGAAGATCAGGGAGGGTCAGCCATGGCCACACAACCAATCACTCCCAACCCAAATGCTGTATAGCTCCATTGCCCACTTTGTGGATTATCTGTGGTTAGGTTTTAATTCCTGGCTTGACTTCCTCCTGCTTTCCGTATGGCACAGTTCACATCCCCCGACCCCATCACATTTTGGTGGCATGTGCCACGCAAATGTATGAGGGTCTTAACAAATCTTAACAGATACCTGCACCATTAATATAGCCAGTGCAGGAAAGAGTAGGAAATACCTACTGTTTTCAATTATTCATCCCATAGTCTGTTTCCCAATTATGGGAAAGAATAAAGAATTATCCAACTTTAAGCAAACAATGTATCAGAGACACTAAAATACAACAATTACAAAAACAGAAAAGGAGGAGAAACCATGTAGAATCTTTAAAAAAGAATAATTACACACAAAAGTTGTTAATGCCTATTAAAGCATGTAAGTTTTTCCTATGCTGGCACTTTTAAAAAGCTGTAAATGGCTGGGTGCACTGGCTCACACCTGTAATCCCAATACTTTGGAAGGCCAAGGCGGGCGGATTGCCTGAGGTCAGGAATTCAAGACCAGCCTGGTCAACATGGTGAAACCCAATGTCTACTAAAAATACAAAAATCAGCTGGGCGTGGTAGAGCATGCCCGTAATCCCAGCTACTCGGGAGGCTGAGGCAAGAGAAGTGCTTGAACCTGGGAGGCAGAGCTTGCAGTGAGCTAAGATCACGCCACAGCACTCCAGCCTGGGCAAAAAGAGTGAGACTCTGTCTCAAAACAAAAAACAAACAAACAAAAAAAACAACAAAAAAAGTTGCAAACATGGTTCAGGTTTGACTTAAAAACAAAAAAACTTTTTTTTTTTTTTTTCTCTAGAGTGTAATCTATGCACATGGCTCCACTGTGGGCAAGAAAACACACAGGTTATCTGAAAGTCGAGGCTTCCCCTTGGCTCTCAGTGAGTATTTCCCTGGCCAGACTCTTTTCTCAGAAAAGCCTCAAAATATTTCCAAACTGGAGCCAGAATCGTTCTAGTGAGGGCAGGCTCCAAACTAACGGCTAGTCACCAAGGTGGCCAATGTGACAGAAATGGAAACTGCAGCACCCTTCTTCCGTCAGTGCCCGGGATGATGCAGCCTCTCTCTCAAGGAAGAACAGCTGTTGGAGAGAAAGTGCCAGGCAAGGCACGTCTCCACTGGGCCCTGTGCCCACACCCACCCATACCCCATGCCCAGTGTGCACAGCAGACAGGACACACCCCTTCAGCCCCCCCAAAAGCACCTCTGCATCTGCAAAGTCACAATGACATGACTTACCTAGCAGCAGCCACTTTCTCCTGCAATGATTCCCTAGGAAAAATCCTCCAACCGGAGAGGCTGCCCTTCCAATTGTCACAAGTGTTTTCGGTTAAACTGCTCATGTTTCTAATTAACTTTTGTCATCCACAACTATTCTAGTGCCCAGAAGCCTGGCGGGATTAACGGCTGCTTCTTCTGCCTTTTTTTTTTTTTTTTAATACCTATGTTCCACTGCCTTCTAGCAACAGAGTAAACTGTATATAGAGCGGCTTATTATGATTTAAAAGTCAACGGCTGCTAAAGCCGAGTGAAGGCAGCCCCTGTGTGGGGCGTGAGCACCGTGCCGTGAGAGCTCACAGCAGAGGAACTGCCTCCTTTCATTCTCAGCTGCTCGGGGAAGCCACAGCTCCAGGGTGATCCAAAGCAGACCTCCCAATGTTTTAAAACACATATATCTTCCTGACTTACTGGGGATTTGGGTTTGGAGGGAGGGTGCCTCACAATCCTCCCTAACAAAACTCAAGGGGTGTTGTTGGATCTTTTCCTGGGGAGAGCCAGAGACCGGCTTGGAATCAGGCTCAGAGAACCCACCCACACTGCCGGCCTGTTAGAAGGTTGCTACGGGCTTGACGCTGCCCATCGGTGGCCTGCTCGGTGTCAGGAGGCTCAGTGCTCAGCACATTGTGAAAAGGGGTTCCTGTGCCTATTTTAAGAGTGAGAAAACTGAGACTCAGGTAGGGCTAAAGAATAATCCTAAATTACACAGCCAGAAATGCAGAGATCTGGGATTTGAACTCAGGTCTCCTGACATGGTATCATACCTACCTCCTTTGATGAAAAATACACATAAACAGCCACTTAAACATCAAGAGCACTTTTAGGAACTACCCTTTCTACTAGCTTATGTATGTTCATGACATCCCTGGTGGGGTACAAACCAACCCTGCCATTTGAAATAAAGCAGCCTACATCACAGAGGATGGCTCTCTGGCTGAAATAATAGTGAATCCACCAATCCTGAGTACCACTCCTCCTAGGAAAACTGTCTTTCCCTTCACCTGAACTCAGATCTGGGGCAGATGTAAAGTTTTCATTCATTCATCCAATATATTCATTTATATCTATCTATTCATTCAATGAGCTCCTAATATGTGTCAGATACTGTTTTAGGTACTTGGGATCCATCTATGAAAAAACAGAAATCTCTGCCTTTATAGAGTTCACATTTTAGCAAGAAGGAGCAGATAATAAATTTAATTAAATAAACTATATTATTTGTTAAAAATTAGTGCTAAAAGAAAAGGATGGGGGATTTAGGGGCAGGTTGTAACACTGTCCTTATAGGAACGACAAGATCATGTTCAAAGGTATGTTCCTCTTTCCTAAAGAAGTTTTAGGCATAGTCCCCATCTGTGTATGGATCAATGTGATCTTGTTGCTTGGAACTACTCTGAGGCTTGCTCAGAAATGGATGTCTCTACTATCATTTCTATTTTTTTTTAACACTAACAATCACAGCTAGAAATCAACCAACTACGTAGCTAATAACTGACCAAGAAGAAAACAGATACTTGGCTTGTCTTGGTGAAACAGCCATCTGAGACCCTCAGGCCTGGTTTATATCACAAGGCATTTTCCCCTACTGTGTGCTTCACTAGGATTCTGTCCATACCTCTTCCATAGGATGATTTTGGAGGACCAGTTACTTTATACAACGCTCTGGGAACACAGAGTTGAATAAAGCTCCTGCCCTCTAGGAACTCACTGTCTCAGGGTGCAATGGACTTCAAAACAAACCACGAAAACAGTATAAAAAGTGGCAGAGGGCTCTACGAGGTGCTATGAGAACCGGAGAATTAGTAGCCTCTAGTAATTCTCCCTGAAGAGTTTGAGAAAACTTCCTGGAGGAAGTGATCCTTGTGTTATTACGTGGTGCTTCTGCTAAAGGTCTGTTATTCCCCTGGTCTGGGATTTCCTCCAGGACAGAGACTCCCCTCCCTGACTCATCTTTGTGTCCTAAAACCTGCTGGAGCATAAAGATACTTAGCAACTGGCTTCTGAACTGCTGGTTGATAATTTTGACATTTGCAAGTCATATTTAAGGCCACAGAGATGTGGGATATGTGATGAGTCTTTAGGGTTTTATTAAAACTCTTCAGCCTACACTCAGGAAAAAATTCAGATTAAAACTCAGAGAATCAGAATTTCTATGTGGTATTTAGTCTGGGCTCCCCTGGTTATTAAGCCATGGGGGCATTTCAAGGCTACTCATTACAACTACAAAAGGTAGCACCTGGGTATGATTCTGAATTTGGTTTCTAGAGCAGAAGTCTTGAGTGGGGCTAGAAAGGGGGCATTAGGGCATCTGAGGACAAGGTCATCAATACTCTACACTCATGTCACAGTCAGAAGTCCCCTATGTCGTGAAGGGTATTGTCAAGTCATGAGTGGTCTTGTACAAAGTAACTTGATACATTTCTATCATTCCTAGGATATCACACCAGTGATCTCAGAGCTTGGCTAAGTGGCTGTTTGGGGCCTGTTCCTCTGTCTATTTTTCTTTTCTTTTTTTGAGATGGAATCTCACTCTGTCACCCAGGCTGGAGTGCAGTGGCTTGATCTCGGCTCACCGCAACCTCCACTTCCTGGGCTCAAGTGATTCTCCAGCTTCAGCCTTACAGACACGTGCCACCAACACCTGGCTAATTTGTGTGTGTGTGTGTGTTTTTATAGAGATAGAGTTTCACCATGTTGCCGAAGCTGGTCTTGAACTCCTGAGCTCAAGGGATCTACCCACCTCAGCCTCCCAAAGTGCTGGGATTACAGGTGTGAGCCACCACACTTGGCCTTCTTTGTCCATTTCTAATCCTGGGGTCCTATGGCTCCTACCATGAAGCTTTCCTCAACAGGATTCTCAGACAGTAAGTTAAACAAAGAGGAGGTGCGGGTGGGTAGGCTGGACCTCGAACTTTGTCCCCAACTCATGGCATGATCCTAGATATGCCATTTTGCCTCTCTTGGCTTCAGTTGCCCCATTTGTTAGAAAGAGGATGAGTGATTTCTCTAGTGTTCTTTTAGCCTTGTTTCTATTCAAATCTGGGCAAGCCTCTGAGAGGCCCTCTGCAGCTGGGTGATTTCCAATCTTGATGGAGAAAACTGGCTGGGTCAAGGTATGGTCAACATTAGATGAGCTGCCTGTGAATTCAGAAATGCTAGTATCCTATGAAAACCAGTTTGGGGGAAGGGGGTGGGATGAGTTCTTCAAAATGAAAAGCACTTATTTCCCTGATAACTAACAACTCTTGTTATTTTCCTCAAATATCTGAACCTTTGTTAAAGCAAAGGAACCTAAGGGGGAAAAAGAAAAGCATAAAAGAATGTTTTGAACATCTGTATCCCCCAAATGATGACATGTGGGCCACTGAAGTGGATGAGATTGTTTTGGATGGCCCGTGAGTATTTTTATATTTTAAAAGTCATATTTTCATTGCTTATTAGATGTATTAGAAAATCATAACTAGCCATATATAAATTAACAGTTTCATGGATATTAAATATAGATTTAAAATTTGAGCTAGTTCAAGGAAAATATGAAATAAAGAACACAAGCGGCTCACAGATTTGGCAAAAATCATGC